TATTTTTTCCTTCATATATTATGTATTTGTCATACATAATTCAAACGATGCGGTTTTTTGACCGAGTTGTTTCATCATCTTGTGTAATTTTACATGTGTGTGGTACACGACAAAATCACGAATTCATTCATTTTTGTCAATAATCAGGAGAGCATCCATTATTGTGTAACACGAAATTCGAAGAAATTCGGTAAAAAAAATTAAGAAATAGACTAATCATGTGCAAATTTATTTATATTTTTTATTTCCTCTAAGATAAGTAGGTTGAAATTAAAACTAACATAACAAACATAACAGCTATACATCGATAAATAATAAGTTTTTTTTCGAATGTGTGAAGAGCGAAGATAAAAAGTATAAAAACTTGCGAATGATTGATTTATTTTTTTAACTTTTATTATTTTAAGTATATAAATAAATGTAAGAAATGTACATGTTCAAATTATATGATTTGGAAAAAAGAAATATGAATTTTTGGCAAAACAAATATATATATATATATAGGATATATAGAATAAACATTTGGCAACATTATTTAAGCGCCATTTTGTTATTATAAAAAACATATATCTCTCCATATATCAATTTCAATTCGATTGGAATAATACGAACGATTTGGCAGCCATTTTTATAAAAGTGTGTACTAAAAATAACTGCTAAAAATAAAACAATGATATCGAGCCAACTTTATGCGAATTTTGCCAAATAAATTTGTATACAATCAAATGTATTCTTGTGATTTCACATTTTCCATATTCTTCTAAATTTTAATTTACGTGATTTCTTTTTTTTTTCTTCTCAAAAATCTCAAGAATCATCTCAAGCAATTTGGAAGCAATGAGCAATGTCCAAAATGTTGTATACCAATAGAAACGTTTTAACGTTGTTTAACTAAGATTGAAAGACTGTTTCCGTCGGTGTACAGCTTCACAAGGAAAATTATTCAAAGAAAATAATGTTATAGTTTTCACAAAAAGATCTATGTTTTTATAATAACCAGTCTTATTGCTTTTTAGAGACACCATATTTACATGAAAATTGGATTGGATAAATGTGAAATTGTGTGAATATAAAATGATATATTTTATAATTAAAACAAAATGTAATTTAAAAAAAAATCACGTCGTTTAAACGTATATATAATATTATATAATGATATACTAGTATACTATAGTATAATATAGTAGTAATAATATACTATTATACATTATATTATAGTATATATACTATATAATAGAATATATAATAGTTACTCTATACTTTTTAATATAAGGCTAGTTGTGTGTCACTTCTTCATCAAAAGAATATTATAGATTTTTATTTATATCTTCACTATGATAGAAATTAAATTGTTGGTTTTTACAACATCACTTATGTGATAGAAATCCATTATATCAGCTTGGATTTAAGATATATCGGTATCTAAAGTATATTTCCATATAATTGTAATAATTTTCTTATTTATAACTTTTCCATCACGAAAAGAAACTTGTTTCACTTTAAGATCTTGCTAATGAATTTTGTCCCTTCATGTGGGATTGAAGATCATCGTTATCAGCTATTTCTTTTTCAATAGAAACATTTTCAGTGCAGTTATTGAGTAATCTACTCAACAAGTTTGGCCTTATTTTATTTGAAAATTATTATTTGAATATTATTTAAAAATAATAATTTGCAATTATCATCTCTATACTAATATTATATAATATAATAATTATATTCGAATAATTTATTTTGTTATTTTCAGATGAAGAAGAATCATTTTTACAAACAAATTTTTATTAGAATTAATTCATTTAAATTCAATTACAGGCAATTTTATTACAATCTTGTGATTGTGAGAATATAAAAGAGATCTATATTTCATATTAACGCAATTGATAATATTAAGAATCAAAAAATATGAGAAATTGTGTCAGGCAACACTTGTAAAAAAAAATACTTCAAATTATAAAATAATTCAAAGAAAAATTATTTGCTTGTTTAAATAAATTAATGTTGATAGGAATCTTATGTTGATTTTTAATATATGTACATCAGAATTTTATGTTCATAAAATATTCTAATCTGAAAATGATTATCACAATCAATTTTCTAAAACAGAATTTCACAAAGAATTTTCAACAAGATACATTTATTTATACAACCAAGTGTATCAAAACAATTATCCATAACATAATAATTAATTATGAATGAATAACTATATTTTAATTATATTACTTTTCCAATGTAAATTAATTCAGTGAGTTTGTACAATCTCTTTGCTGTATCTCTGTTCAAAAACCGGAATAGACGATTAGAAAAAAGATTAAAGTTAAATAAAAGATAGTAATAAGACTATGTTGTCAGAATCATTGGGAATAAAATCTTTGATAGGCAAATAACTTTTTCGTTAATTTCCTAGATTTCGTAAGCTGTGAACACACTTTGTCGAATGTATGGCCCCCCCCAACTATCCGCTTATTTCTTTTAACAACAATGAAAGTAGTGAAAGTAATTGACCACTTGCTGAAACTATGGATGGAATTGTGTAACTATGCATACTTTGTCGAAGTGGATTGTATGAGAACACGATACGATAATATTTGAAAGTTAACTTAACTCTTATATATTAATGATACTTGAACTGTAATCATTGTTATAAACATTATTTTCAAATGTTATTTTTTATTTTTCAAATAATCTATCTCAAAATAAATATTTATTTATACAAAATTTTTATCTGCCATACTCGTATCAAATTGTTATGTGGTTATGATGACAAGTAATAAGCTTGTCTTTTTTTTTTAAATTGCATTTAAAAATATAAATTTCATGTCATAAACAATACATGGAAGTTTGATATCCTTCTAAATTTATTCTTTGATTTGTGTTCATTATCCATATCTTTTGTTCTCTCGTTTCAATAAATATTTGTATTGTTTATTCTAAAATTGTCTTAGTCCACTTATTCAAGTATCCTATAAATATAAATTTATATCCAAAGATAACATAATTGAAATGTATATCATTAATCTATAATCAATTGTTAACTTCATATTATTCAGTTGTTACGATATATTATAATTTATAATTAATTGTTATAACATAATTTTACTTGTGATATTTGGTATTTTTACTGTTGCAATTGTTCAGGAAAATTTAAAGATCTTGTGGAATTTTTTTTTTTTTCGGAAACTACAATGATTAATTGCGATCGTATCGTTATTCTTAGATATAAAGAACATTTATGTTTTACATTTTTCTTGTGTTTACTTGTGTAACTTAATATTTATTAAAAAGAATTAATAAAAATTAAAAATTTTTAATATATCGTATAAAAAAAAGTTAAAATTTTTTATATAACTGAATTTCTCATTCAAAAATGGAATTTAAGGAAAAAAATTTTTTTACACCGTCTATTTCTCAAGATATTTCAAAAAATATGTTTTCAACTCTCGATTTTAAAGGATAATTTCATATTTTCATCTCAAAATGGATTTTAATCGATAAAAAAAGGAAAAAATATGTATCAAATATTTTTTTTGTGAATTTAGAAAAATCAATTACAAACATTAATAACCATATACATAACAATTAAACAAGAATCAATTTACCATAAAAATCTTAAAAAATTGCTCTTATTTTTTAATTTACCTTGGAAATCTGAGAAAACTGTTCTTATTCTTTTTAATTTACTTTCAAAAACAGTTTATTCATATTCAGTTTATCAATAGAGATTCACTATAAACGAAGACAATTTGTTTTCAATCTCTCGATATTTAATACTAGTATTTCTAAAAGAAAAATTTGTAAACATAAATATCTTGAAATATCTTGAAATATATTGTAACTAAACACATGTCTCAATAAACAACATTTAAATTTGAATTTCGAATAACAAGATAATATAATTTAAAGGTGAATAAATTCTCATAGTATACAAAAAAAAAAAAAAAAAAGAAGAACGTAGTAAATTAAATATAATTAGAAATATAAAAAAAAATAAATATTTATATATATTTAAAATATTTTAAAACATGAATATATATGTAGCATAGTAAATTGATAAATAGTAATTTATTTCCGCTATTATTATAATTTTCATTTGAAAAAAAATGACATCAATCCAAATAACATGATATATTATTTAAATATATCATTGTTCAAGTATTTTATTTATTCAAGACAAACATTTTCAATTATCAATAAATATCAGACGACACAAAGAAAATAAGCAAAATAATGATATTCCAGCAGATAAGGTGCGAAGATGCGAACAGAGATAGGGTAAAAGGTACCTAATATGGTCACTCGTATCATTTACTCATTCAATTACGTGTAAGGAAAGTGCTGAAAAATTTATCACTTTTCACATTGTATTAGTATTTAAAAGATGTATAAAAAGATAAATTGCGATGCCATGTAACCGATAATTATAAAAAGAGAAGTGCTTCAATAAACGAGCTTTATTAAATCTAAAAATTCGTATCACTGAATCTCTGATAATTTTATATCGCATTCTGAAATTTCATAAATGCATACATGCAACTATCTCATTAATAACGTGCTTTAGAACAGTTTAATCGACTGAACGATTACTTTTTTATCTTAATTGAAAAAGTTTTTTTTCTTCCCTCAATATACTCTGTGTTTCTAATCACAATTTCAACATTTTTACTATTTTTACATTTGTATAAATAAATAAACACACGCATAAAAATAACTTCAAAATATACAAAATAATCAGCATACGCCGAATCAATTATCTCTCAAGCAAGCCACATTAGATATACCTTTTCTAATGCAAAAATATCAATCATCTTCATCCCGATTGAATTATACGTTCGAACGAGATTACATGAAATTCCAAATAATACAAATTTTCACACACAATTTATTCTTCTCTCTCCGCGAAGAATCCGAGAATCAACTTTTGCTACGTCACATTAGGTCACATCTTTGCCCTCCATACACACACGCACACACGAGCGATCGGCACGAAAACAATGTTTCCTTACCTGCAGGCACTAAGAACAACCTTGTGCGCCCTGAGACTAGTCTCGGCGCAGACCAGGGTCACGTCGACGAGTAATTCCGCGTGTAGCAACGCCTCGAAGGCCTGGAGTATATGCGTCTGATGATTGTTCCATCGTAAGGAATAGTGCGACTGCAAAGCCATCCCATCAGGACTGTCCGCGGCGCTTGACATTTTTTCACCGCCGCTCGTGCCGTTAGCGGAGCCACCTTGCTCCGCCTCGTTCTCCTTCGTACCTCGAGATCCTTCGTCCGTTTCTCTCTTCCATGCACGCACGCACGCGGCCACGCACGTATCGTGAACAATGCCTCCCCTTCGACACTATCTTGAACGCCGCTCTTCTCCTGAAACACGAGAAACGGAAAATTGCCTTTCGCTCAATTTCGGCTCGAGTTCGGTCGTTACACGACGGTGGATCGAGATTAGGGAGATTAAATGGTTTTATGGTAATTATTCACGAAAGGTCACGCCTCGTTGATCTCAATGACCTTGAAATGTGTTGTAGGTGAATCATGAATCTGTACTTTTTTTTTTTTTTTAGATACATGTCTCGATCATATACACGCGATACGTTTTTGTTTGATACTGTTTGTCGTTGAGTTAGAGTTAGATTTTTAGGTTAAGTATGTATATTTTATTCGCACAGTGTGGGCGAAATACGGGAGAAGGGGCGGCGATAGATAATTCCTCCGGCTACGTTTCTTTATTTCGTGATAAATAGGGATCTATAATTGATTTTATAAACGATCTCGAGTTATGCTATTGCGTTACGGGTAGGAATTTTTTTCTGTGATATTTGTGAGAAATAGTTGTCGTTGAATTTCGTCTGTATACTGTTCATGATACGTGCGTCAATATCATATCATCTTATCTATTGTTTATAGAAACACATTGCAACAAGGCGGGCAACTATAATGCATAACGGGTGAACTGTTAAAAAGTAAGAACTTTTTGATGAATTTTGGAATAATATTCCATACGAATATGAAACAAAATTGATAAATACATCGGTTATTTTATAATTGCAAGTTTCCAAAGGAATGTTCAATTTATTTTATAATACACGATTTTTAAAATCTAGCATGAACGAATAATATATAGACATATATGGACAACGTAGTATCGAATATATTTTTGTGGATATGAGGAAAATTATGAAGAATGTTGATTGTTCAACAACATATTTCAATATCATTGAAATTGGCTAACTGTACCTTTTGTGAATTATTCGATTATTCAATTGCTCGGAATATTCATGAATCGTCAAATATGAAAATTATTTTATCAAATTTACGTTGAACATGATTTAAAAAAAGAAATTTACTAAAGCCAAATGAACCAAATGAATCTCAATTAATCAGATTATATAATTGGATTTAAATTAACAGAGTGTTCAGAAAAATCGAATATATTTAGATATTTGATTTTTATTAAGTGAATATTTGAATATTAAGTTCGACTACAAGTTGAGAAAATTATTTTAATAAAACGAAAATTAATTTTTGATTTCAATTTGTTTTGTTTGATAAAAAGATGAATTATAGAGAAGAAATAACAATTATAAAAAATGATACGGATGTTTCTGTTTCTTGATTTCTTTGTATGATTTGTATAAAAATATGAATTATTATAATTCATAAATAGATTAAAAAATTCTTATCAACATATCTGCAATAATCTGCATTATTTTTAATCAATCCAATGAATATCATATTATATCTTCTTTTTCACATTAATTATATCACACAAGAATTTTCTGAAAATTTTTAAACATCTACCTATTTTAAACTGCATACAACAGAATCTCGATTATCCGAATTAATAGGAAGACAAGAATGAGGAAATTTTCGAATAATGGAATACAGATTTTTCTTAAATTATTCTATATTTCGAGGAAAATAATACGTTTATGCACAATATAATTGAGATAATGGTATATATATAAAAGATGGTTTGCATTATAAAATTAGACAAATTACAAAATTTTTTTTTAGTGTGTAATAAAACATCCTGCAAATAATTTTCTAATTTCATCCATCTGTTTTTTAACGCTACTCTCAACTGCTCCCTAATTTCTTAAATATTTCCAATTTCGTTATTTAATATTTTTGTATGCACCATATGAATGTGTCCAAATTTTCAATTAAATTTTATTTATATTATTGCGAATAGAGGATACAATAACAATTACGATGTACACGATTCGAACAACAAATTAATAGAAAATTAATTCAAATAACGGAGATTCTATTGTAATTAAACGTTGAAGAGACAAGTTGTACAAGTTTGTGATACAATGATATAAACGAGCATTCCACAGGGATCATGAAGAAACACGAAATATGCCATTGCAGAATTAATATTTATTTCTACAGATTTTCTTTTTTAAAAAAAAAGTGCTATATTAAAAAAAATTATTTCAAACATTAAAAGATTATTAAGATTAATTGAATGAAGTCATTGAACGCTACAGAGTACGCTACAGAATATCAAATTTATACTTTCATTATAGAAAAAATTTTTCACGAAATTCGATATTATCTTGTTTGAAATGTGTTATACGAAAAATTCATATTATTATTTACGTAAGAAATAACGAGATATTTAAATAATGCTTTCGTAAAAAGTTCAGAAATAAAATATCCGTATAAAATGAAAATCAAATTTGTATTCTACGAAAGAATAATCTTCAATTTTCGCATATTTGATCGCATAGAGATTTTTATTTTAAAAATATTAATTATCACAACTTTTGAAAATATCGTATTAGTGAATTCAACCGATTGCTTCTCTTCTCTCAAATAATATTACATTAAAATTACTCTCTTTTACAAGCAATTTATAGTAACAGTAAAAGTACAAAAAGTGGAGACAAATGAATTTATCGCATTTCTTTTTTCGACGATCACACGAAAACGTGTTTGAAATTGAATAACGAAAAAAATACAAATTGGGAAAATTGGGAAAAGACATGCGGCGATTGGTTGAAAATTATTAAAAACCAGAGAAGATAGAGCATTCAGGTTAATACTGGAATCGAGACATAGAGATTAATGGTATTTGCGATATTAGTATTGGCGATATATTAATATCTCATCCGTTTCATTTTCCGTTTTACAATGGATAAAACACTACATTTCTTTGTTTCATGTTGCGAATAGTAATCCTATATAACTATTAAGTTTATTTCATCTATTGGAATTTTACATTAGAATTTTTTTATCTGTACAGGGGTGAAATTTGGAAGAAGTTAATAACAAATGTATAATAATGTTCAAATAAGTATACATACCTATGCTATTATTGTATTCGTCATTATTAAATTCGTGGGGAAAAAACATGGTGAATATTTCATATCATTATGTTTCCTCTTCCCGTTTTTTTTTTTTTATCACAGGAATATAATATTATTAATTAATAGCTCTATTTCAAACCATCTTTAAATTTAAATTTAAATTCAAATTTCTCTTTCGATTCAAATTACGAAGAATCAAATGCATCCAAGTATAATAGATATTTTTGAGAAGAAAAAATATAATACTTGATTCATTCATTCAAATTTGTAAATTGATTCAATTTTATTTTCAGTAAGATTATAAAAATTGAATATATACAATCATTCGACGAATCATTCAGATCTAATCAAATAATTTTATAATATTCGGCGCTTAATTACTAATTCGACCTTTTTTGCTAGACGTAGCAGAGAATTTAATAAAAATCTTTTACGCTTAGACAAGTAACTCTGTGCTCATCATAAATTTAAAATTTCTTCCACACAATTTTCAATTAATTTATTAAATATCGAATCATATCTTAACTTTATTTTCGAGCATTGAAAAGAATTTTCAATTCTGTTCGCCAATTAAACAAATTATAAACGTGATAAATTATATTTTTAGAATGGTAAGAATAATTATAATAAAAAAAAAAAAGAAAAAAAAAAAACTACAAGAAAAACTTCAAAATACTTTTTTTTGTGCGTGTAAAATTATCATCTTCGAGATCATTGAAGACATAAAATTTCTTACAAATTCGAAATTGAAAATGATCATGAATCACAGATGCGTGAAGAATTTTACTATGAGATTTTACAATTTTTCCTTTTTCTTTTTTCATATATTTTTATTATTCTTTTTATTGTTTTTCTTACATTCTCGAGTCTCTTATCAATCGAGATAAAAAATTACCGATCGTACACGAGCATTTTTGCAGAAAAATTCGACCGCGCAATTTTAACAGATACAGGCAACAATGTATCACGAATGCAAAGCTTATTACGTTTTCGATAAAGGTTTTCATAAAGGAGCATAAAAGGAGAACATTAACTATCGACGAATTAAATTCAATCGGGCGGTGATTTAGCTAGTAATACGTGTAATTTTCTAGAGAAACTCGTGCGTGTGTATCATTACTGTCCGAAGAAAAAAAAAAAAAAGATTTGTCGATATATTGTTTTACATTGATTTATTATCCGGCCAACGAAAATCGCCAATCTCGAATATTTCAATTTTACATAGGATGTCATTTCCCTTGCAACAAAACAATTCATTAAGCTGCAGGTAATATGCATTTCTTCGAGTGAATGATCTACGTCAAAATTTATTCTTTTATAACTTCACTCATTCTCCATCACTCTTTAAAAGGGCACACAAAACAAACAAACAAAATATGTATTCGTGCTCGTCTTAATGATAATTTACAGTAACAGTTGTATTGTATATAGTGGTTTCTCGAAAATTATAATTATATCACGTACAAACGATTAAATTTTTAATGAAAAATTATATAGCAAGTTAAATTAATATCCAATACAATGAATCCTTTTGATATTAAGAAAAAATACAACCTTTGGTAGAAAATATTTAATCAGTCTCAAAATATATTTTTCGATACCTGTCACTTGTTTCTCCATCGGGTTTCGATTAAATTCTTCGCTATGCATATAACTGATATGAATTTACAATACGTATTGTTTGATTTTTCATTACAGTTTCGGATAAGAAAAGTGTAGAAACATTTATTTCTTCGTGATTTCGATTGTAAGTTTTTCAAAAAAAGTCAATCCTTTTCGAAATCGAATCGTTTCGTTTAGTCCAATTTTTAAAATTTAAAAGTATAAAAATTATTCCATTCTGAAGGAAGATACTTTCCAACCAGAAGTTGTATTATTTTATCTTAGTAATTAATTTTATCTTATATGATATTATGAGAAATGAGAATCAATATTTCAATTTTATATCACATTGTACAAAATAATATTAACATATCATTAAGAAATCGAAATACATTATTCGCTAAAAAAATTTTCAAAATTTTTACATACACGTAATTCTTTGCCTTCAAAATTTATTTCAATTATGTAATATTATGTAAATATTTTAAAAAATAAAAAATTCTTCATTTCTTATATGCACGTATCACTCATTATCAATGAATTACTTTAGAAACAATATCCTAAATTTCGTTGATAAATCTCAACCAGTTACGCATTAAATTCTTGTCGAATCGAAGATCGTCGTACAAGAAATAATAAACATTGCATCGAAACGATATTAATCCAAATCAATGAATTTTTATGGTTCACAGAAACAAAATATTGAGATCAAAGTTCACATAGATAATAAAGAGGAAAGCACCGAGCGAATTTTCATGACTTTATTGTTGATCGTGGAAAATAGAAACGAACAAAATAGAAACTCGTTCAAGTTTCAACGATCGACAATGGTCGAAAAAAAAAAAAGAAAATTCGAGTTTCAATTTTTCTGCAAAGTCACAGGCTTTACGAAATCGCAGTACGTCACTGTGCGCCTATCGAAAACTCATTGCAAGTTTGTTGTCAAACTAGCACGTGTTCAACAAAAAAACGTATATAATATAAATTTTACTTTTTACTTTTCTTTTCTTCGTTTTTCATATATATATATATATATATATATATATGCATATTTTGTAAGTAACGTTCGTAGTAAATATTAGATTTCAACGACAGGATACACAATGATCAAGATGACTACAACAAATTCTAACATTCTAAATATTGTTTGGACGTTCCTAACCTCGTACAATCATCGATGTGAGCATAATGTTTTGCATAAATATCATTTAGATATTATGTAGATAGTAATAGAGTCATATAGATTTGTAAATTCTATGATACATTTTGAAATAAAATTTTGATACAATGAGTTTGAAATATAATTTTAGGCATAATTTAGTTTCCTCCATTCATAAACGACTCGTGAATGACAATTTTTAAACTATTATTTTTATTCAATCACTTACGAGTACATTTCTAATCGTCATTTCTAAATTTTACTACGCGAAGGCCAAATAAGTAAAAATCGTACTTTTGTATACAATTCATAATACTGAGATTTCACTCATAAAACATAATTTTAGATTTGTCGATCGTATTTTCCGAACGCGTGCATGCGTATAAAATACGACGTTTAAAAGCTTAAATTTCCACACGTGAATATTTCATTGGTGAAACGAAATAGGTTAGAGTCGATAAAAATCACGATTAAAAATATCGAAGAAGAGGATCGCAATGTTATTTTCAACTGATCTTTTTCATCACGCTTAAAGATGAAACTAAGAAGTAACAAAAAGAAAAAAAAAAAAAAAAAAAGAAAAAAAGAAAGAAAAACTGGACAATTGAACTGTTAATTGTTACCTCGAATGCTGATTCCGCTCAGGGCGGACACTCGACTTATCTCTTTTTGTCTCACGTTTCTCTCGTGAACATTTTTCACCTAAAGAGTAATATATCACAATCCATTTTCACACGATGATATAATAAGCAAAAGGGTACACACATAGCACTGGATCTTCTGGCGATAAATCGATGATCATCATCGGGTCGAAAGTTCGTAATTCCATCAGTCGAGAACACGATTCGAGCGAGTCTTTCTCCTCCACTTTGTCACCACCTTTTCCCGTTTACGAAGAAAGTAGAATGATCTCCATTACAGAGAGCACCAATTCGTGACAGAAGGTGTAACTTACACTGGTAACTGACTGAATCGAAGGAAACGGTGTATAATAACCTTCGAGTGCGTACGTTTCATTGGCGGGAAAATCGAACACAGCCGGCGGACCGCGTGGTATAGTAGCTACTGTGCGCGGTTACGTGTATACGTGCGTCAGAGGAAGAGGAGTCGTCTCCTATGAGGAGTCTAGAAGAGGAAAGGAAAGAGAGAGGGAGGCAGACAGAAAGCGCGCGCGAGATAGGATAAGAGAGCGTGGCGCCCCTAAACGATCAGCTGATTCCTCACTGTCACCTATCGTCTTCTCAGCAAAAGCACAAACATGTTCGTCGGTATAGACGTTCGCCTTCTTCGCGCGGGACACCCGCGCGTATATACATATACATACATATATATACAAAACATACATATACATATCACTCGATTAGTCACTTAGTTGTTGCTCGATACTCTTTCGCGAAATATAATTTACTCGATTCACCGTGAATACGATCACTCGATATCGATAGCGATCTCTTAACAATTCGAAATCAAATCCTTTCCTTTCGGATAGGAAGAGGAGAGAGAGAGAGAGAGAGAGAGAGAGAAAAAAAACAGAACAAGAAAAAAAACAAATCGAACGAAATGAAAAATGCGAGCGTCACTAAATAATGTTAAGAGAAAACTGACCGTATCGTGTGGGTTGCGTGTGCGGCACAGCGGCGTCGGCGACGGCCGGTGAGTGAATGCGCCGTGACGTTAGGCGCCCCTCCTAAGATCCCCGCCCCTCTCGCTCCTTAAACTCCTCTCCCTCCCACATGACAACGTCGCCTCTCTTTTCCCGCACGATACACGCCGCCGCTCACTTCCTCGCGCACTAACTAACCAACCTCCCTCCCTCTCTCTTACCGGCCGCCTCTCCCCCTTTCTTCCGCCTTCCTTCCCTTCCTACCCGGCGTGCTTTCTCCTCTTCGTCACTTTACCGCCCCGCGCGCAAACCTTCCACCACACCTCTCACCTCCCCTCGCGCGTGTCCTGCCGCTCCAACCAACATTCGCGGACCGCCAACTACCCCTTTCCTTCCTTTCCACTTCGGCCAAATCTACTGTTCCACGCGAGACGCGCTCCTTCTTGTTGCCCTAACTCGCGCGTTCCCTCCTCCTCCCTCCCTTGCCTATCGTTTTGCTTTCGGGTATGCTGCTCCCCTTTCGTCGAAGGTGGCACGGATCTACGCGCTCATCCGATGCGCGAAACCGATAAGAAACGTTCGACATGCACACGAGGGATTCCATGCCAGGGGACGCGATCGGACCATCTCGGTATGTATTCCTTCTTTGCAAATGTTTGAGAGTATATATATATATTTTTTTTTATAATTCCAATTCATTGCAGCAGATTCGAGTCGTTGATTCAAAGATTCGAATTTTTTGGAGGATGTAAACATCTCGGTCGGGTGATTTTCGGGGAGACTTCGGTAATAACGCTAATTGGATAATAAAAATCGTTTGTTTGTTAGATCATCATCGAAATTGTTAGATTTAAAATGAATGTTTAAGGAGAAGAAGGGAGGGAAATTATTGGTCGACGAAGAGGAAGGTAAAACACGGTGGATCGAAAAATTTGAAGTTGGCGAATTGATCTGGGACGAATAAATGGTAAGCAGATGTCGTAAAGATTTGGAGGGCGATGAAAAGCGAGCGACGAGGAGTCAAGGCCGCCGACGGAGGTGGCACCAAGGGGGTGAATTCCAAGTTCAGGACCTTTCCAAGGATCCTGGCTCGCAACGGGACACCATAGGGAGGTAAGAACTGTGTAGATAGTTTCCCTCTTCCACCTATACATCGGTGCTGCCTCCCTCATGCCTCCGTGTCCGTGTGCGTTTATATAGTGCCGCCAAATGCTCTTACGTCTTGTCGATTTTGTCGACGCGATAAACTGTGAGCTTCCCTTTCCTTCTTCCGTAAATCTTTTTCCTAACTAGATTCGAGCGCGTGGGCGAACGTTATATTTAACGTCAATTTGGTTGAAAGTTATTTTTCTATCCGGATTTTTTTTTTAACAAGGAGAGAAAATTATAAGTACGTCGTATACAATGTTTGGAAAAGTTATTATTTTTAGCACGGATTTAGATCGTATCGATATTAAAATAGTTAGAAATGATGATACACATTGTCAACAATTAACGATATTGTTATTGTCGGTTCTATTTTCTTTCTTTTTGAAAGAATGAATGAGAAAACGTAGAGAATGCAATTTTGCTCAACATCATTTTTCAATTAAAATTAATTACCTAAAAAATTTCTATAACCGAATATATATACACGTTATCGTAAAACATTTTCGACCATATTCCACCATATTGAAACTTTTGGAAACGGAAATGAAAACCATGCAATATTACCATTTAAACTAAACAGAACACAAACTTACAAGTTTGTACCAGTTTACATTATCTCAAATTTTGTAGAATCGCGTATCACGAGCGTGGCATTTTAACGCCACGCGAATTTCAATTATCACAGAGGAAGCTTTTTACAAACACTTTTTCCCTTTTTCCAGAAAAAAAAGCGCACAGCCTTTCTTTTTTCCCCCCCTTTTCTTTTTCTAGGTAGAAACGAGAAGCACGATTCTAGAAATCGTCACATTTCAACATCCTCCCCCCTCACCCCCCTTCAAAAAAAAAAGGACAGACACAGAAAAAAAATATTCACTTCTCACTTACCCGTAAAAACGTACTATATTTAACTTGGCAGGTACTTCTGTATCGTATACGTTGCGTCCATAATCGGTTTTAAATATTCCGTGGTTCAGTCGTCAAAAACCTATCACGATCGTTCGTTTTTCTCGCACATGCGATCATCGAGCAAACTACACGATCAACATCACTCTGTACATCCCTCCCCCCCCTGTGTACGCATACACGGCCCCTCCTCCTTCCCTCACTTAAAAAAAAAAAAAAAAAAAAAATAAACCACCAGCCACTCCTTCCTCCTCCTTCTCCTCCTCCTCCTCTCGGCAACTCCCCCCCCTGCAATATGTAAATCACATCGTCGTCCTCCCGATGGTCGAGAAACGTGGAACTTGACAGGTGTTGTTGCACGAGTGGTAGCACGTATCACGAGAAACGATCCACGTCCCGCGACGATGGGATCCACATTCGTCCCGGCACATACGAGAACGGCGTGTCGACCAAGCGGACGGCCGGTGATCGTGATTTATCATTGACCAGGCGGGGATGTTTCGCCCCTCCTCTTCCTTTCCACCCTTCCTCCTCCTCTTCCTTTTTTTTTCCCTCTTCCCCGTGCACAGCCGTCGTCGTCGTCGTCGTCGTGCACGCGCGTGGTACGCGATGCACGCGTGGAGAGAATTCCGCAGGTGGTGGACGGACTGTCGTCGAGACTGTCGACCTCGGCCGATGCGCGATTGTGTGCGTAGATGCGCGCACACACACACACACACACACACACACACAGGTGTGCGGTCGAGTGGCGGCGGGCGGCCTGGCTCTTAGAGCAGTCGCGTTGTGACTGCCTCTTCGGACTTGCCACTGAAAGTGGAGAACGAGGCGAAGAGTCCCACCTCCTTGTGCCACCTCCAACCGGGTGGGTACCAGCCCATCGGACCCTCCTCCTCCTTCTCTCTTGTCCTGCTCAACCTTTTGCTTCTCTCCACCACACGCCGTCCTTCCGCCCGTCGAACGCGTTCCTTCTTCCTTCGCCGATTATTCCTTCTCCACACACACACACACACACGGACACGCGGTAAGTATAATACGCACACACCTCACGCACCGTTCTCCCGAACGAAAGCCATGCCTCGAGTGTTTGCCGATTATTAGCCACCACGCTTACTCACCGCCCAAATTTTCGAATATCTACCTGAACGAGGAGAGGGACCAGGAGCAAGCAGCCAGTTTCGCTACCTAACTAACTAACGGTCGAAGAGAGTAGACAGAAATTCGGCTGCCCTAAATATTATTGCCTTCGAGGGAGGGATATACACCTGCTTCTTCTCCTATTCTTCTTCCTGTCCTATCCCCTCTCCCTCGCCATCCCTTTTCGTTCAACAAGCTGACCAACATCACGGCTTTGCGCGGGGGCAGTAAGAAAAGGATTTGTAATCGAGGCTCCATCTCTATCCTTAGGATTTGCCCCCTCTCCTCTTCCCACTCTCCTCTCTCCCTTCTTCTCTTAGAGCTCCGCGTCTCGTTCAATTGTCCCCTCGGATACGACAGGTTGTTTCGGTGAAGATTCTTCACGGATGGATGATATGCTTCGAGACAATTCTTCTCGAGATGTGTGTGTGTGTGTGTGTGTGTTGTGTGTGTAGGGTATTGGCCCCGGTGTTTTGTCCTTTGTTTTTCGAACAAAGTGTTCGTGGTGTATCGAGCGGGGAATTTTGGACGATTGATTATTCGATTCTTGGAAAATTAATAACAGTGTCGATGTCGAGGTGAAGGACCTTTCGAGATCTTGGATTGCAAGATTTGTTTCTTTAGCTTTATTATATAGTGATGTATTCGATAAAGTTGATTAGTGTTTTCATGATTAATTTTTTTGTGTAATAATTATAAATTGTTAATTAAAAATAAGAGTACAGTTTAAATATAAAATGTGTTACAAAATACACGTTTAAAAGCATATTATTCCGTTTAGATTAAATTATATTCCAGAGTTGTAAAAGTGCATGACGCACGCAGCAATAAAAGAATATGGAGTTTCCCGAATATCGATATATTATTGTCGTTTTGCTTTAATCCTAGCACAGGTCAATAATCCAAACAATTATACGGAGATTCAGTTAGAAAGTTGTTATATTACCTAGCAGTATTAAGAGTATTAACCTTGCTCATGTTTTCGTGTGCTTATATTGATAAATATAAAATATATGGCACCCTAAATATTAATGGTATAGATCATTAATATTACAGTTATTTTAAATATAAATCATATACAAATAAAAATCTTTCACTTTTAAATAACATGTTTGTAAATTTACATATATAAGAATATTAGAAATTAAAAGAAATCTGTGCAAATTGAAAATGATCATATGTTTACTTTTGAAAAAATTCAATTTCAATTTGACAAATCGCTTTTTTTAATTCATTGAATTTTTCTCATACGTTTCTTTGATGTTTTCTAAGATCCAGAGATCATGTTCGTAAAAATTTCATATATATTTTTGTTTATATATTAACAATAATTCTTTTATAATTTTAGTTGTATCTTTTTTGTTTGAATTGAAAATTTCTTACATGATATTTCTTTAATTTATAAAAATATTGAAGTTGAAAATAAATGATTTTTATTTCTATATAACACAGTTTACAATAATTATATAATAATTAAATTATCCTACAGTAATTTTCAAGAATTCATAATTTTGTCCACGTTACTAGTATATGTGAACAGATGTCTAAGTGTACTTATAATAGGAAAAGAAACAAATAAACGTTTTTTGTTATTAATACAATGTTAACGTGATGAAATATTTTAAGTGTAGTTAGTATTTCAATTATTATATTCTCATAATAACTAAATGTTAGAAGTAAATGTATAAACGATATTTAAAG